CCTTGTCGTTCAACCCACATACGTGGTGATACTCCCATCTTCCTTGTCATTCAACCCACATACGTGGTGATACTCCCATCTCCCTTGTCATTCAACCCACATACGTGGTGATACTCCCATCTCCCTTGTCATTCAATCCACATACGTGGTGATACTCCCATCTCCCTTGTCATTCAATCCACATACGTAGTGATACTCCCATCTCCCTTATCATACAACCCACATTTCCTGCCAGCTTTCAGTGATTTTACTAAGCATGTTTCACACTTCATTTGAATGAAAGGACCAACAATAAGGGACTTCACTAACGAATGATTATAGAAATCCCCATTGTATCCCCCTCTCACAGTAACATTTACAAGGGGTTTGCTATGTATGATTAAGCGTTTGTGGCCAAATAACAATTTTCTAAGTTCTTATGAATACATCACAGTCCACTTGTTTGGTAGGATAGTTTGGACTATCATTAAAACCACCTTATTGTCAGACACTCAGAACATCAACCACTCGACAAGAGTACGGTTACAATTGTTTTACACACCTTACACGCAGTTATTAGTTGCCAGAAAACAAATTTAAATAATGAAATTATCTAGAATATTCTATTTTATCTGTTAACTAATGCGAAAATTACTTTTTTTGTTGTTGTTGTTGTCGCTACGAAAATCTGACATTTCCATGATGGGCACAATCCTATGAAACGAACAAACAAATAGAAACGTGTCATGCTAGAACTAATAACATGATTCTCAACAGACACCCCCAGTAGCACAGTATGCCTGCAGACATACAACGTTAGCAACAGGGTTTCAATATCCTTGGTGGGTAGAGAACGGATAGCCCATTGTGTAGCTTTGTGCTTAATTACTAACAAATAAAACTGAACACAAAAGTTTCTCTACTGTTTTTAAGACCACATCCTACAATTACGAACGAAAGTGCCCCTTGTGACTCGGTGGTAAGCTTGAAGGCTTATAACGTTAAAAATCGGAATTCGATATCCGCAGTTGGCATAGCGAATGAAGCCCCTTGTGTAACTCTGTACTAAAACAATACACAACTCTTATGAAATCAAGTAAAATAGAAGCTTATATTTAACCAGTTTAAGAAGTCTGTTTTTTTTTATATCTCTGTCTCGTTTATCAACGTTTCCTCGTACATTTAACTTTGAAATATAAATTACTACTACAGCTATTTCTTATATAGTCAATATGATAACATTTATTAAAAAATAACATTTTTTTCTGGAAGGTAACTCAAATGTTTAATGACAACAATTATATCCTGAATCTCTTCACACTAGAGGGCGATGATAAAAAAATACTCAACTATCTCATTGAATTGCACAATTTTACATTTTGTATATTATTTATTTCCCTATTAGTTTAACTCTTTGTTCACTAGATGTCAGCAGAGTTTGGGTGAATGTATTAATTGGAGAGAACTAATAATGTTTAAATGTTTTCATTATCTAATATTTATATAGAAAGGATGAAACCTTCAATAGTAGAAGCATGTTTTAATTAAATCTGTAGAATATAGAGATTCTCTAAATATAGGTTTCGATTTCTTTTCCCACATTATTGATAAAGCACGTTTTTTCTTTTTTACGATTCTTCATCTCTGTCACTATAAAATCTTAAATTGCCCACTAATTTCACCTGTAACAATTGATGTTGCACCCTAAGTAAGAAAGAAATGATCGTGTATATATTTTAATATACATAAATAGATATAAAAATCTTACACGTTCTCTGATATTAATAATAAGAACTATAATACTCTGAAAGAAACATAACCCGGTGAAAAATGATAAATTGAATGACAGACTGGGCTACAGATTTGTTTCTTAGATAGTTGGACAGCTTGTCTAGCTAACTAATACATAAGATCAATTACACATGCGTATTTTTAGATTTCCTATATAAATAGTGGGTTAATGTACGAGAAAACGATTTAAATACACCATTCATATTAGACACTATATGATGCTTACTCTTAGCACTTTGATTTTTGTTTCGTCCAGATTTACTGATGATGGGTAATTCTCTGAAAGTGGTATAATTCGGTAACGAGTGGAGAATCAAATGATTTATTGGATTAACTGTTAATGTTTTAAACAAGTTGTATCACAGAGTAATGCACGAGAGTAAGTTAGTAGTATCAATTATGCATAATCATGATCTTTCACCTGCAAAAATACTTCAGGTGCTTCATACATTGAATGTTAACTTAGATAATTCTTTATTTATTTATTTTGAGCGAAATTGGTTTGTCAGATATCATGTTTGTGTAAGGAAAAATCCCAAATTGTTGGTGTATGAAAAAACATTGTGTGCTACCATCTGTCGACGGAAATCAAAATTATTATTAAATATGGAAGTAATATTTGTTTAAACTGAACTCACGGCTAAGTAGTGGTTTTCCTTTCTAATATATTTCCACAAAACTACATGCAGGAGAAGAAAAGACTACCATTACGTAGTAGTACCAAATTATAAAATTCCTATTGAAATATAGGATTACTGTGTGAGTAAAGGACGTATGAAAATACTACACATAAACTATTGGGACGGTTTTTTGACACTAAGTCAATACAGATGGTGAAAAGTGTCACGTTCACTGTTGAGAACAATGTTAGTACAAACATGCAAGTTCTATCGTTCGTATAAAGTACAGGTAAAATTGAAAAGCTGATGTCAGCACAGAGCAAGTATTGAGAGAAGAGAAATCGAAACCTATACTTAGAGAATCTAAGAAATAGAAATACTTAGAAATTAAAACATGCTTATACTATTGAAGGCCCCCATCAGTTCAATACTAAAAGTATATTAAAAGTTTGGTTTATTTTGAATTTCACGCAAAGCTACTAGAGGGCTGTCTGTGTTTGCCATTCCTAATTTAGCAGTGATAGATTAGAGGGAAGACAGCTAATCAACGCCACCTACTGCCAACTCTCAGCCTGTTCTTTTACCAACTAATGGTGGAATTCATATTCACTTTATAACTCCTCTACCCATGGTTGAAAGGGCGAGCATGTTAAAAGGAAATACACTAATTATAAAAGGTACTACTTCTATCACATGAAAGCAACACTAAGAATTAATAGCTGGTATTTTGGTGTTTAATTAATTCTTTATTTATTTACTTATTTTTAGCGAAATTGGTTTTTCAGGTATAATTGTTGTGAAGTGAAATGTTCCAAACTGTCATAGTTAACACACAAAAAAAGTATGGAGAAAAATACTTAGAAGTTCAGTTATCCCTTAATAGATGGAGAAAAAATACTTTGAAGTTCACTTATCTCTCAATAGTTAGAAAAAATTATGAAAAAATACTTGGAAGTTCACTTATCTCTGAATAGATGGATAAAAAGTTAAGACAAAATACTTGGAAGTTAAGTTATCTCTCAATAGATGGAG